ACATTACCGTATTGCCCACGTATTGTTTATTACATTTTCCGCAAGTAATTAAATAAACCACCCCCTGAGAGTTACAATCAAAGTGATGGTTAATGTGAAACGTGCGCCGTTGTACTGTACTTTGAAAAGTATCCGCTACCACGATGGAATCACAAACCTTGCACTTTTTCCCCCCACATTTAACCATCCCTCTAGCTGCAACCTCAAGCTTATGCAATTTAGCCCGAACAAGATGGTCTTTAAGGTTTTTGGATCTCCTAAAACACACCATAGGTGGCTCTGGCATGACACTTAGGAATTTGTTAGATAAGCCTACAATATTTTGCAATTCCCTAAAAATTCCATAAATTTCCCGCAATGCTGGGTGATAATCTATGATAAAGGTACTCTTATTATTTTCCCTTCTAGTTTGTTCACTTTCCCGTTTAAATAATGCCGACCGATCCAAACACCGGACTCTCTTAAACTGACTCTCTACAAATTCGCTATTATAGCTACTTTTAACCAGAAACCCTTTCAATTCCTGAAGCCTACTCTCAAAAACCTTATCTGAATGGAAAATTCGCTTTAGACGCAATACCTGTCCATAAGGAATTCCCCTCTTAACATGTGGAGGATGGCAGGACTTAAAATTTAAATACTGATGTGCATCAGTGGGTTTACTATACACGTCAGTACAAAAAAAAACATTATCCAATCCTACCGACACGTCAAGAAAAGAAATCCTATGATAACTTACATCACATGTATACTTGATATTTTCGTGAAAAGAATTCAAACGAAGCAAAAAATAATTTAACTCCTCCTCCGAATGAAGCCAAATCACAAAAATATCATCCAGAAAACGCCACCATACCCACGGTTTCAACTCACACGTCTCCAAAAATCTCTCTCTCTCTCTCTCTCTCTCTCTCTCTCTCTCTCTCTCTCTCTCTCTCTCTCTCTCTCTATATATTGTTTTAGGCTACTTTTTTATTAATATCAAATATAAATATTTAACACTCAATCTGAATTTATACTAGAACTATAGATTCTCCAATTTCATGCACTGTCTTGAACACTTTCGTCCACGCTACTCTCTTCATCTTCTTCCTCGTTATACTGTCTATATCTTGTTCTTCATCTAGAGAACTACATTTCTGTCGACTAGGTCTCTTGGAAATTACAGTGTACGATTGTAGGTGAGAAATAATTGCACTGATTTTGTCTGGTTTATTTTTGTTTCAGTCACAGCAGACAGCTTGTGTTCCTCTATAGTACTTTTCAAGAACTGCAACACGTTGTTTTTGCAAGATTCCATTCTTAAGCATTTGCTTCCAGTCAAACTCACAAGTCATGCTGTTTTCTTGTAGATTCTTTTTCTTCCTTTCTGTCTTTCTTTTCTCATTCATCATATCGAAATGGTCTAAATGGTCAAGGTATTCTTTCACGCGAGCTTTTCTTCAACAATGTATTTTTTAGAGATACATTGCACACTTTCAATGTCTTCTAGAGAGATCTGCTTCTGTGCAATTGACATTGAAATAAACGCTACAGTATACGAGTAATAAACTTTTTAATACATCTGAAAATCGAAAAAGTGGTGAATAATCCACCCATAAAATGCTCGAAAAGCAAATGGGACGTATCACTGTTATGGAAACTTAATGCTACCCAAAATCAACTTACTATCTTGAAAGAGAAATGTGCTCGGCTTTTTAGTGCCACCTATACTCAAAGCCAAAAAGCTAGAAACGCAAGCTCAAGCAAAACAAGAGGAAAGCAAAGGAAAAGAAGTCAAGAAGGATTCATTTCAACATGGAAGAAAATTCATTTCAACATCTAGATCCCATTGGTCCACTAGAATTGAACTACGAAGTAATAGCAAGCCTGTCCAAAAGAAAGTTAATATCTCTCCTACGCATGTGCAAAATGAATGTTCACAAGGGAAGGGAAGGAGACTATTAGACAACATCTACCCAATGATGATGGTGATAGGATCATGAAGGTGGAAGGATGGTTCAGTTTTTAATAATATCGATGATGATGATGATAGTATAATGCTCGTGATGATGATACTAATATTGATGACAATTCTGCAGATGATTTTAATGATGATAATAGTGATGAACTTAATAATAATTGTGATAATATAATTGTTGTTGATGCTGATGCGGACAAAGAACGTTCATAGCAAACTTTGCTTTTTATGATATATATTGACATTGTTTATATTTTTTTAATATCTTTAAATTAATGAATAAAGTCATGTTTATAAAGAATAAAGTCTGTTTTAGATATTTTAGATACTGTTCATTTAGACAATAATCAAGTATCAATGTGATCTGTTTTAGAATCGTGAGGGCTTCAATTGTATTTATTAAACTAAAGACTTAAAGGTTTAATGATGTAATTTTAATGTTATTAAAGAAAAAGTTAAAGTACCCAAAATTAAACAATATAAGATGACTCCGGAATAATAAAGATTAGTATAATTACATAGGTGATTATTGAAAATTCTCCACGCTGATTGGTTACCGTTGAGGTGATTATTACGCGATAATCACCTAAGCGATTTTCAAAATGGCGGCCGAAGCCGTTTTGTCAATTAAAAGACGAGGAATGTGCATTTTAAATTTTTTTTCCAAATAATCACCCATGAAATTATATTCACCTCAGGCTCGGTGATTATCGTGAATAAAAACCTCGACTTCGTCTCGGTTTTTATTCACCGATAATCACCTCGCCTTCGGCGAATAATTGTTAAATACACTTAAGTTTAACTTACAATTTGAGCCGAGGACTTTGTCGTTGGGGGGCGGAGGGGGTTAGGGTCCAAATTACTTGATTTTTTAATTAATTAAATTACTTTTCATAGCAGAAGTTTTCGGAAGAATATATTAACACAATAGGATACGGGGGATGTTCCTCTGCATTTTGAATATTTAGGCACTCAGGAAGCCAGGAAATGCAACTAAAATTTGGGATGGATAATGATTCGACTATCTGAAAAATACAAGTAAAGTGGTGGTGTCATCTTGTGCTTGGTGGGATCTCAGTTAAGTGGAATGAAATATTCCATATGAAGACTTTACCCCATCTGACCGAGATGGATATTCTTTTGCTGATTTTGACTAAGCAGACACTACTAAAGTCATAACACAAGGAACAGTTTGTTTCATTACAGTAAAAATATTTCGAAGATGCCATGTTTACATAATGTTGTCCCACCCAGGCGGGATATTAGGTATAGAGGAAAAACAGCAATATCACAAACAGTCTAACACAGAAATAATTCCTGCCACTCACGTGAGCATCCCGGAAAACGTGGCTCATTACGCTCTAGATATATTTTAGAGCCCCCCTGGATATACTACTGGGTGTTCCTCAATTTCAGTTTGAGATACTTTGTCTTAGAATCATTCATTGAATCATTAGGCGGCCATTACCAAAAGATTTCTGAGAAAATACATGACAAAACTGTAACACACTGCGTGTGAACTTTAAGGAAATTTTCACAAGCCTTTCAACATGTTTTGTTTATTTTAATTGAGATACTGATCGACAACCAAACTATCGCCCACAGCAATTTTGAGCACAGTGTCCTGTGGCACATCTTGGTAACGCTGAACATATGGGAAGTTGCTTGGCGTTGCAGAGATTCACTTCAACACATATACCTAAATATAAAGACAGAATTTTGTTATTAATATTCTTATCAATTTCAATCGACTGTAAAAAGGTTATATTTACATGTTTGCCGCTTTTATGCTTCTATACCAGAATAACTAGCCTTAGTGGAGTTTTTTAATGTGAGTTGTTAGCTACAATTTAAGCCAGTTGTGAGTTATTATGAAGATATTTCTTCATTTCATTGTTTGTAAGATTAAAATATAATTTGTCAGTCATTAGGGACAAATACCTCACTTATAAACCCCATTCAAACCTTGGATTAAAATATTATATCCATCTACCAATAACATCCCAAGCACGTTACGACCTTACTTATAAATAATAAAACTGGATTGATAGTGCGTAGAAAATGAAGTCGGCTATTACTAAGAACCCTATTTAAAGTAATGTGGTAGGATTGTAACATGTTTATAGGTCAAAATAATATAGTTATCTGTACATCTAAAGTTTGAAGAAATTATAAAAAGAAACATTGATCCTTTATAGTAATGGTGGACGTCTATCGTCTAAGTACTATTAAAACACGAGTAGCAGTACCTGATAAAACACATGCTACGAGCTCAGTGATTGCTCGCGGTCTAGCTACGAGTGTTTTAATTAAATAGCCTAATAAACGACCCATCTCAGATAACTGTGGCGACGTTTATGTAAATGAACATGATTTTTTATCACATATAAAATCACAGACACTGTAATAATTTCCTTTGTCTTTTCCTCATGAATTATTAATGAGCTTTAAAAATGTTTGACTGGCTTCATTTTCTGTACCAGAGAACAATCACGCATCCAGTCTTGAGGTGCTTTTAATTACTTGGACGGATCAATGCAGAAGTTGACGTCTGGCTACCAAGACAACGATACGGCGCTCATTTTCTATTTTGTATTTTGCTCATGAGAATTGCTCATGAGCTATATCAATTAAATGCGTTTGAAAAGTAGATGACATTACCTGGACAATTGCAACATGGTTGTGACTTGGTTGTTGTTTTGCCAGGATCGGTCCAAGTCACGCTAACTACCACTGGATGTGTTTTAATAGTAGTAGTTGGCACCAGCGGTTTGTTTGGTTCTATAGGAGCTATCTTTACAGTACTTGATGACGTGTATGATGTCGTTGGACATGATGGTAATGATTGAGGTCGAAAACAGATCCGCTCAATACAGATGGTACCATTGAAACAATTGTTAGTGACTTTAGTGTTGTCTCTTTGGGCGTGAATTGTGGTTACTACAGGCTCAACTGGTAGATTCGCTGGTTTTACAGCATAAAATATTCCCAGATTCCCAGCTGCTGGAAGACGATCTGATGAGAGAAGAAAATTAAGAGTCTGCTGTATACAAAAGTCTAATATGATCAAAGATGGGTTTTTGCATATGGAATATATTCTGACATAAATTTATATACATTTTTAGAAAGCTTCGGATTGATAAAATACAAGGCGAACTTCGACGTTTCAAACGAAGGTCCTTCGTCGGCAACTAACTTTCTTCTTATTATTTCTGCTATCCATCCTGGCACAGACCGTTCAAGAAAATATACATTTTTAGATCTAACCAAGAGTAGTTGCAAAAAATGCAACATTAGGCCCTCTGGTAGGAATCGAACCTGCGGCTCTGCGCTCCGGCGTAGGACTCTAACCAACTGAGCTACAGAAGCCTGTTCCGTAAAGAGGAATTGAATCCGTAAAGAGAGGAGGTTTGGCTGAAAATTTAAACATGTAATGACTAGTGTGTATACAGTGTGGCTAAATTCTGTTTATTTCTTACTTCTTCTTCCCTACATGTAGGGTATATATTGCCTCAACAACAAGCAATTGGTTGACTGAGCATTTTCACGATCAGTATCGGTTAAAGAAAGGAAATCTTACCCAAAAGTTTGGTTGTTTTCTGCGTATTGGGCTTTGATGGTATCTTTGGTTGAGGAGATAACTGCAGTTGTGACAGTACGGTTGGCATAAACACGTGTTCGACACGTGATCCGCTCTTGTCAAGCTTTCTCTCTTCTTCCTGATTCGCCATTTCTGACTGTTTTGGGTCGTCAACTTTAACTGTATCCATTGTCATACCACCCTTTTGTACTCTGTAGAAAGTGAAAGGAAATAACTGATTCAAGTTTATTCAATCACAGCAACCAGGTGTCAGACATGTTTTCCTTTGCTTGCTACTTTGGTTTATGTCAATAAAAATCATGGGATAATTTTTGATGCCTAAATTGTTTGGTCATGCAGTGGAGTTAAACGATAGAATTACATATTCTACTTGGCGAGATTTTGAGCAAAATCCATGCACTTTAGATGAATTGTGTCAAAAAGCGGGAAAAAGTGTTGACCTGTTGCAGAATTACCTACTTTATTTAAAAACCTCTTCAGAAAGAACTCGCTTGTTAGAAATGAACCATAATCACTGAACAACAAAAAAACACATCTGGAAATCTCATTTAAAAAAATTATGATTGATTTTTTAGAAGAATGGAGATATAAACAATCACAATAACCAAACCAATCAACTATATAAGGACCAAAGTCCAAACTGACGAAATTTTAAAAATGGTTTTGGATGCGTCCAAACCCAATTTAAGATAAGTACGAACAAATTATATATCCTATAGATAAATTCAAACAAATTGGCTGATTTTAATATACTTCACACATAATGGCACAGAAATGAAAACAGGAAAATTCCAGGCATAATTTGTATTCAAAACCATTACCAGTACACGTTGCTTTATTCCATAATCTATCAAGACATGATTGTCCGAAAACAAAACAGAAGTCATAACATGTTTTATGTTTTTGTTTCGGAGTTTATTGTTAATCAGTTGTGCACGGTCATTGTGACTGAGGTCATTGTATTTTCGTAGAGGGCCCTGAAGGGGTAAAATAGGAACTGGGATTGATCTATTTTTAGACTGGGAAAATGGGATTTGGGTTGCTGGGACTGGGATTTGGCCACTGGGAATGGGAAATGAAGTCCTCAAAAATGGGAATGGGATTG